TACCTTCAAACCTTTAAGACCCCAGATGCTATATCTTGATAGCCGGGCACCATCAGCTTTCTTCACCACATTTGCTTATTCACCTGCTTTGTCTTCAGCGATTGTGTCAGGAAGGTGAGCATCATAGAATGCCAGTTTAATAGAACAAAGTATTCTTACATTGATGGAGTACTTGAGTGGAGGCCCAATGTCCATCTTCTACCTTAATATTAAACCTATAAATATATGCACATAGATCTATTTCCCCATCCTCATCTATAGATAATATTTCTGTCCCGTTATTTAGACCTCTATAAATGCCCTTTACCTCCTAGCTCTTTCCTCTATTTCCTTTAACTTTCCTCTTGTCCCACTATCATGTTCAGTCTCCATTTGGGTTTCAGTAATTCCTCTTGGTTACATTACCCTTGATCACGCCCTTTCAGGCCTCCTATACCCTCCTCACCATCGATTTGGATCACTTGTTCCCTTGTCCCTGAGTTTGTTAACACCACTTCCTTTCCCCCCACCTCCCCCTCTCCCATGTCCCCCCAGAACTGCCCGTCCCATTGTTTTCTCCCCCAGATTGTTCATCCAGCCTATCTTATTTAGACAGACCTGCCAAATGATTTATTCTTTAGGGTTTAAAAATACTGCTGTTGTGTTTGATTGTCTTGGAAAACTGTATATTGAAAACTGAAGTGAGAAAACTGCATCAGCTTCTGAAGGACTTGCTTCTGCTGTTTTGGAGGTAGACTAGATGAGGGTATAGCACGAGGGACCGTTTACTTATCTACTTATAGTTATGGATTTCCTGTTGGTGCTGGGTCTGGTAAGAACCGGGAGGGAATACAGTGGTCCCTTAAAAACGGACTCAGCCTGAGAGGAATTAAAGCTGAGTAGAAATATTTTCTCTTGTTTATATTTCTAATTTATGGAATTGCCTTATTATAGTGACCTAATGCTCTTCTGCTTTTGATATTCGTGTGGCCTTTGTATTTCTTACAGAAATGATACTGAAACACAATGGCTTTTTAAAGTGGGCTTCTCCTGCAATACAAAATTGAACATTAAATTTATCTGTAGGACTAAAATATAAACCCACAGGATAATTTTTCCTTATCTTGTAGAATCAAATTAAAAATTTCAAAAACATTTCTATTATGCTTTAATCTCTCCTCACCCCACACACACATCTGACATTAATCATTTTTAGGCAGTATCTAGGAACTCTTGAGTTAGTCCGTTGTGTTGATTTATAATTTTTTTCTTTTTAAAAAATTTGGCAATAAAATGCAAAAGACAGACTAACATACAGTTGAAGAATTTTGTAAATGCAGTAACAAAGAAAACCAGTTAGTATTCCTGGGCTTTTATTTATTTCACATTTGCAGTTTTTTTGAAATATTGAAAGGGTGTAACAGGAAGATGTACTTCTTGCAGGTGATTGACCCAGTGGCTCCTCGCTATGTCGCATTACTGAAGAAGGAAGTAATCCCAGTGAATATTCCTGAAGCCCAGGAGGACATGAAAGAAGTGGCCAAACACCCAAAGGTCAGGCTACAGTTTCTGGTATATTAAAAGAAAGAAAAGTGAATTGTGCTTTAGTGGCAATAGTAATGATCTTCAGGTCATTTTTAATTCATTATTTATTAGGATTTGGTACCAAATGAAGTAAAAAAATTTTTTTGGTGTGTATTAGTTGCTGAAGAAATACACTCTAGTAATAATTCTAGCACATCATGTGGAACTTTCAGATTATGTTGGGTGCCTATTACCTTTTCTGTAGAAATATTAGTATATAATAAGACATTCTCAATTCCTGGAGTTATTCTGAAACAGTATTGGGATTTCTGCACTCCTCCTTAATTGGAAACTTGGGTGCATTTCCTATTACTAGGTTATTCATTAATTATCACCTATGATAAGACTCACTAAGATTGCATCATATCTTGACTCCAGAGTGTCACATTGTCATGCTCACTAAGGCAGTGGTTCTCCACCTTCCTAATGCCGCGACCCTTTCATACAGTTCCTCATGTTGTGGTGACCCCCAACCATAAAGTTATTTTCGTTGCTACTTCATAACTGTAATTTCGCTACTGTTATGAATCGGGCAACCCCTGTGAAAGGGTCGTTCGACCCCCAAAGGGGTTGCGACCCACAAGTTGAGAACCACTGCACTAAGGTGAAAATGTGTCCATCTAAATTAAGGTGAATCTTTATTTTTTTTCATAACTTAAAGAGAATATTAATTGTAAAAGGGGCAGACAACACAACGACGCAGATACATCATCTGAATGAGGGAGGTCATTAGAGCGAGGTCATAATGGCATTAAGAATGTGGATCTTAAACATAGTAGCACAAAGCACTTTTCTTAGTTCAGCCATGGTTACCATCTTGGGTAGTGTGTTAGGGTTCTCTAGAGAAACAAAACCAGGACATTATAATTATATATATTTAAGAGGACAGGTTTATACAACAAAAAGGGATCTAACAACTAATTAGTCCACACAGCAGTAGAGGACTCAGTTCAACTCACTTTCGTGGAACAGTTAATATACAGGAAGTCCTTCAACTCCCATGGTCAAGGAAACAAACAGCTGAGCCTTCCCTCAGGCAAGGCAGCAGACTGTAGGTGGGTCAGCAACAGCCAGTAGCTCGGGAGCTTCGCAAGGCAAGCCCTGATGGGATCTGGAACTCAAGCACAGAGACAGGATCCACCAGCCTCAAGCTCAAACAATGCACAAACCGGGAGTGTCGCAAAGCAGGTCTCGAAGGAGCCCCAAGCTCTAGCAACATGTCCATGGGTTGGCTTGGCCCACTGGTAGTGTAGCACACACATTGAGGCAGAGAACTAACTAAAGTGTCAGCATGCTAGTCAGATCACCAGGGAGCAAGAGAGACAAGGACAGGCCTTGCAGAGCCATTTATCTCATTGTCTTCCATTTAAGCTGTGACCTGATTAAACTCCACCCATACGTTTCTGTTGGCCTAGTTGACATGATAACCCTAATTATCACAGATCCTGACTGCTAGCTTAAGAATATTAGAGCAACAATGAAAGCCACTTCCATCAAGTTGATTCCTATTTGTAATGACCCAGTAGCACAGAGTAGAACTGCCCCTAGGGGTTTCTGAGACTGAATCTTTATGGGAGCCTCATCTTTCTCTTACAGGGCAGCTAGTAGGTTTGAACTTCTGACTTTGTAGTTAGCAAGCTCTTTGTGTAATCCACCACCCCACCAGGGCTCCTTTAAAGCAAACATCGATCTTTTATTCCAGCTTTGTGAGTTGTGTATAAATGCCATCATTATATAAAGTTTTGTTCACGGATTAACTCACATAGAAGCGAGTAAGTATGTGAAAAGCTGTATATTTTCATAATACAAACTTTTTTTAAGATTTGAATTCAACCTGTGGAAGCCTTTGTAAGACTGAGGTGGTGGTGCGTACGAGAGAGGAAGAGAGAGATTGATAGGTTTGAATTTGTGTTATGTGTATCTGAGGGCTTAACCAGGATAATAGTGGTAGCTGCTGGTGTATCCTACACCCACAGCCGCTACTATAAATGTGAAGTTTACTTTATGATTTTAGATTTCAACAGAAAATATAACTCCTTATAGGTATATATTTGTTAAAATGACAGTTGTATGTAAATAGCTTAGATGAAATAAAGTATTGCTTGTTGTAAAACAAGAATTAATAGATTTAGAAATAAGCACTTAAAATTGTGCTGAGATTACTTAATTTGATCCGTGGAACTTACCCTATTTACATTTTCTTCACAAAACTTTCTATATTTAGTTTATCATTATTCTACTCTGATCTTAATATAATATCAGTTTCAATTGCAAATGGGGTTTTCTCAAATGCACTGGTGCATTTACTAAACAAATATTTTATTCAACCCATGCGATTTAATATTTATTTCAGAGCCATGCTTTTTATTTTTTAAACCTAGTGTATCCTGTCAAACAAACTGAAATTCAACAAATAATAACATGGAATTTAATCCCCAGATCTTTTTCCTCTTTAAGTAATACTTGGAAAGCAGAGCAATTATTTGTCCATACATGTTGAATATGATCTGAAAACATCTCTTCTAAAATATAAAAGGTCTGCAGTGCCCTTCTCTGTCCTAAGGTGATATATGTTGCCCTGTAATGTCTTAGAGCTCTTTGCGAGTGATTCTGTTTTTGTTGGAAAAGTATGAGAGTCTGAGGATAGCCTTTGGTTGGAGGGACACTACACAGCAAATAACAGTTTAAGCTCTGACAACGGTAAGAGATTGTTTTAAGTTGGAATTAATCTTAGGTGAACCATCACATCTAACTTTCTTAGCCTTAGCAGTCAGATGACTGACAATTATGCCACAGAGCTGGAATGATCTCTGCTCCAATGGCAATGTGATTGTTTACAACAAATAATGCACTATTTCAGTGTTACAAGAGCATTGGGGATACATTTATGTTAAATAGAGGAAAATGAAATACTTCCTGAACATAGGATTGAACTGATTAATAGTGTGGTGGCCTAGGTAACTTTGTTGAAAGAGTAAAATGAATATGTAAATTTCCTTACTAGGCACAGTAAGTTGTTTCAATTAACATTCTCCTTTTTCTTTAATGAACCAGAACCCCGATGTTGGCTTGAAGCCTGTGTGGTATAGTCCCAAAGTATTGATTGAAGGTGCTGATGCAGAGACCTTGTCAGAGGGCGAAATGGTCACATTTATAAACTGGGGCAACATCAACATTACCAAAATACACAAGTAGGAATTTTTGGTTTGTTTTTAGACAATTGTGGAGGAACATGTCTTTTCTGTTTATTTACTTCTTGCCTTAATTCATATCTGTTTGGTAGATGAGCTTGGAGCCAGAATAGGTCCTTTTATTCCAGTTTTGTGAGTTATCTATAAATACCCTCATTAAATAAATTTATGTTGTATTGGGTAATATCTGCTCAGACATAAGATACAGAAAATTCTGGACACAAGGTTTTTTTCTTATTTATCTTGTTGTCTACTAATAAGACTTCAGGGTCTTTAGCATCTGATGATACAAATTACTACATCGAGTTCTAAGAAAATAGTTATAATTCTTTAAATCCCCTTCTTACCCTACAAAATCCTTATTATATAATTGCTTGGCTTGGTGGTCTTTTGAATGGATTTATATACAGAATATACCGAGGGACTTCAAAAGTTCATGGGGGGAAAAAAATCTGTCTTTTAATTTCTTTTTTGTGAATTTTTTTGAAGCTCCCCTGTAATTTTAATCCTGAAGTTTACTTTAAATTAATGGTTTAATGCTATATTTGAACTTTATAGTTTCTGTAATTTTTATAAGGAGCCCTACTGGTGTATTGGGATGCTAACTGCACAGTCAGGTTAGAACCCACCAGTCCCTCCCCAGGAGAAAATAAGGCTTTCTGCTCCCATAAAAACTTACAGCCTTGAAAATCCAAAGGGGCTGCTCTCCCCTGTCGCACAGGGTCAGAATGATCAGAAGTGACTGGACAGCAGTGGATATTTGGTTTATCATGATTGCATCAGTGGGAAATGTTATGCTTAAAATTAGTTTATATTGACTCAAAAATCTTAATTGCTCACTTATATTACATTTCAAATGTTAGCTGCTCGATTATTTAATATTTCAGATTCCAGAAGTTTAGTGCACTTTAAAAATTAATAAATATTTACATATTCTTCATAAAGTATATGTGTGTGTAGTCCAGTGGCTGATTATTTTGATAGCTGAGATAATATTTCTCTTCTAAATCATTCCTGTAATCCCAATATATGTCTGATGTATATCGAAAGCATACATTTTGCCTTAGCTTTTTTCTAAAGTCTTTCATGTCAATTTACAATGTATATTATAGTGCTGAATAATTCATTTATGGCAGCGTGGTATACTGTCTTTAAATACTTTTCCATTTTATTTCTAGAACCAAAGATGGCAAAATTGTATCTCTTGATGCCAAGTTGAATTTGGAAAATAAAGACTTCAAGAAAACCACTAAGATCACCTGGCTTGCAGAGACTGGCCGTGCTCTTCCTGTTCCTGCAGTCTGTGTTACGTACGAGCACTTGATCACGAAGCCAGTGTTAGGAAAAGATGAAGACTTCAAGCAATACGTCAACAAGAGCAGTAAGGTAGCCTTTGAAAAGAAACTGCTGTGTAAACGTTTTCTTACAGCATTTCAAAGATTAATTTGAAGTACTGTATATACTCGCGTATAAGCTGACCCAAATATCAGCTGAGGGCACCTAATTTTACCACAAAAACTGCATAAAAATGTGCTGAAAAACTTGGCTTACCCTCAAGTATATATGGTATTTGGAAATATTTATAGTAGATTAACTCACGGTATCCACATTTGCTTTGTGAAATATGATGTCAGAGTATCAAATATATGTTGTATGGTAAAGTGAAAGGAATCAAAGATACTGCCAGAAGAATGTGATGGTGCTGACAAAAATAGTCAACAAATAGGCAACAAGGTTGGGTGGAGATGATGAATCCATTTCAGGAAATGTTAGATTTTGCACTGCACTTGGACATACAGGTAGTAATTTTACATACTGAAAATGTGAGCTGAAGCTTGAAAGGTGTAACTGAAGTTGTAGGTGACGAGTCATCTGAACAGATACAGTCATTGAAGCTACTGGAATAGATGGAGGATACCACTTGAATAGGCCATGTAAGCATTCATGAGCAGTTCTGAGCGTACCATTTAGGAGTCTGTGTGTTTAAGTTACTAGGAATCAAGGAAAGAGACTATAGCACTGTTGAACAGAAGCACAGGGGTAAAATTGTTTGCGGAGTGTAGTTTGGAAGACCGCCATGGGTTACCGCCGAGTGACTGAGAGAGTTGAGACTTTGGTTTGGGTGACCAAGAGGCCACTGGTGACTCCGAACACTGAGCACAGGCGCAGGTGGGGTGGGAGCTTGATTGAAGGGGCTATAGAAGCAGTATTTCATTTTATTTTTTACTTTTGAAAAATTGATTAGTATCCAGAAAAAGTAAAGCTAGATTTTTTTCTTATACTCTTTGTAAAAATACAGCTTAGAATAATACAATCCTACACGTCAAAACAATAGACGTGTTATAAGAAAATATGGGGTTCTATATTTTTAATGTTTCTGAGTAGAAATCTATATAGCAAAAAGCCTAAATATGACTTTAAAATTTTAACATGGTGGACTACAGGAATAAAAATTTTTTTAAATTTTAACACTTGTTTTAAAAGGGGAAATTAATGAAATTTTTTGAAAAATGTAATGTATTTTAAAAGAAGCATTTTTTAGAAGGATTTGTAATTCATTAAAATGATAGGGAGATATGGAGAAAGAGTGCAACAAAAGATTTTCAGATGGCAATTAAAAATTTATCTTGTTCGTAATTTGTTGGCATAATTATTTAATATTCCATCTTATGATAATGAAGATTCCAAACTAGAATAAGAAACAAATGTGAATTGCTTGTCACTCTACATGATTACTACGTTGGAATTCTTCTAAGTATTACTTTTATTCTGTCCTGTTGGTTCGTTATGAGTCACAATATATAGAAGCAGTATTTTTAATGAACCTTGATTTAAAGCAGTGGTTCTCAACTTGTGGGTCGGAAAACACATGAATATTTCACAATATATAATTACATATTGTTTTTTGATTAATCACTATGCTTTATGTTTCATTATGTTCAATTTCTAACCATGGAAAGTATCCTGCATATCAGATATTTACATTACAGTTCATAACCGTAGCAAAATTAGAGTTATGAAATGGCAATGAAAATAATTTAATGGTTGGGGTCACCACAACGTGAGGAGCTGTATTAAAGGGTCACGGCATTAGGAAGGTTGAGAACCACTGATTTAAAGGGAATCAAAACAAAAGGAGAGTTTAACAGAGAGACTAGATGGCATTTTTTATAATCTTTGACAATATTTGTATGGAGAAGGTTGGTATCAGTAGAGAGTAAAAGAATGTGAGGACAGACAGCACACTTGATACTTTGTTTATTAAGACTTCCCATTAATACCTGGCTAACTCATTTTAATTGAAGAAGTGAATGAGAGGGATTTTCTAAGGAAGCATGTTTCTGAAAGAAAAAGGTATAGATGGGATTAATAAATTAAGAAGAGAATGACTCTTTTTGAAAGAGAATGACTTCACTTTTGAATCTAGAGCGATAATGAAACATAATAATGTTCAGCAAAGGGACAAACAGTGAATAATCAAATGGATTCAAACCCAGCAATCTGACTCTAAGACCCTTGTGCTTAATTACTGTGGCTTTGACAGTAAGGTCTGAATGTGCTTCATACTTAAGATACTTAAGTATGTCACACTTAAAATAAGAGAATTACATATTTGCAGGAATGCCAATCAGGTTACTTTAAAAGTTCCCTGAGACTGGCTAGTCTATAAACAGCTACTGAAAAAAATTTTTTTTGCACTGTACTGATTTTACTGTGTGTGCATAATTAGTAAACCCTTGGCTAGGTCTGCTTAAAATGGGAATATTCAGCTACTAAAATAACAGCTTGCATTTTACAATTGTTAGTATTCTGATTTTGAAGACATGTATTATCTTTCTAGCGCGAAGAATTAATGTTGGGAGATCCCTGCCTTAAGGATTTGAAAAAAGGTGACATCATACAACTTCAGAGAAGAGGATTTTTCATATGTGACCAACCTTATGAGCCTGTCAGGTAAATAAATTTGAATTTTTAAATGAAAACACTTTAAAAAACCGATGATGACCATTGACACATAGCTACCCTATACTGAGTTTTCAGGCATGTGAATTTTTATGGGAGCAGAAAGCTTATCTTTCTCTCATGGAGTAGCTGGTTTGAGCCACCAGGCATATAGTTAGCAACCCAAGACTAAGCCCACAGGGCTACCACAGCTAATGGTAGTATTGTTTAATGTGAACTGTCACTAAAATGGTGTGACACCTGCCAGCTCCCTATTCAGTTGAATTTTTTTTATCTTTCAGACTTAAATAATTTAATAAAAATTTGAATATTGGTTTTATATTTTAGGACCAATATAATAGGCATTGAACACTAACACAAATTATTCATATCCTAAACTAAGTCGTGTCTGTGCTATCCAACTATAAAGGAGAAATTTCATTAAGTCAGTTTATCCCTGGGTGAAAATGAGTACTTTCGTTAGATACATTGTAGGACATCTACTCAATGGTGGTAGTGGTATTTTTTTTTTTAATTAGGACTATAAATAAGGCAGTAGATATATTTAGCGAGAAAACAACAGATACTAGTATTCTTTATCTTCCATGAAATAATAGGATTATTAAAGGGACAGTTTTCAGTGTCTAAATTTCTGTCCATGCCCCTTTTGGTTTTCTTTTTTTCTCTACTTTTTCATTACTTCTCTTCTGTAACTGTGTGTGCAGACCACTCCACTAAGTGCTAGACTTGTGAATTTAACCACCCTCTCTAAATAAATCAAAACCATAGCCATTGAGTATATTTCAACTCATGGTTACCCTATAGGACAGTAGAACTACCCTCTAGACATCTCCAGATGGATGTTTTCAAATACTGTACCCCCATCTCAGTATGTTGAATTCCAGAATTCTAGGTCTCATTTCTTGTCTATTCGCCTTTCATGCCGCATCCAAGTCTGTAAACCCTCATGCTTGTTCTGTGGTCTCTCCATTTGTAGGACCCGCTGCTCTTCCCTGTTTCAGCTCTGCATTTGTACATCAGTTGGCTGAAACTGTTTGTAGATATATTTCCTTACCTCTAGTTTTGTCCTTTTTAATTCATGTTTCACATTGCCACGAGTCGAACTTTCATACCAATTTAATCATATTTCTTCACTTGAAATTTCATGTGTAATATCTAGACTTCTTTAGACCCACAAGGGTCTTCATGTGATGACCTCCACCCGCCTAGCCATGCCTGTGTCAGGTTACCTCTTGCTGATCACTAGTTTGGCTCACCCAACCGCTCAGAGCTTTCTAAAGTTATCAAGTGTTTTTGAACCTGGTTCCTTTCTGGGCTGGCCTAGCACCTTCTTTCCCCTCCAGCCTGCATAGGTACTCCCATAGCACCCGATACCTTCCTTTATATTTATCACACATGGTTACTTTATTTTTCCCATCACTAGAATTTAAGTTGCATGTAAAGGACATATTCCTAATACTACATAAACGCACTATACCTAATACTTACTAACTCACTGCCATTAAGTAGTTTCCTACTCCTAGTGGCCCTGTAGAACTGCCCCTGTGGGGTTTTCTGAGATGGCAAGTCTGTATGGGAACAGAAAGCCATTTTTTTGGTTTGGAACTGCTAGGAAGTTCAAACTGCTGGCCTTGTGGTTAGCAGCCCAGCATGTAACCCTTATACCACTAGGGCTCTTTGATATTTATTAAACCCTCATTAAAATATGTTGTGGTAGTGGTAGTACTTGTACAAAATTGCTTCTAAATTTACTGTAAAATAAAAGTGTTGAAATTTTCAGCAAATGGTGCTAAGAATAAAATTGGATTCCTACCTCACATCACAAACAAAAATCAACTCAAAAGATTCATTGACCTAAATGTAAGAGCTAAAACCAAAATAAAGCTCTGATATTAAATATACTGATATTACACCGTTCGATAACAGGCTCTTAATTGTATACTTTTAAAGGGTGGATTTTATTTTGGTGTGATAGTTACATCTAAATAAAGTTTTTATAAAAATATGTAGAGATGTATAAGATCCTATTGTTTGTTTTTTTTCTTAATTTTTTTAATTTCATAGTTTTATAACAATGTTCACAAAAATCTTTTGGTTATAAATGGTGTCAGAGTCAGTAGACTATGCTAAGTTAGAATTGGGAGGTTATTACAAAATCAGTGTTTATCAGAAATTCCTCTGTTTGTAATCAGATAGGAGCCCAGGTGGTGAAGCCAAAATTAAGAGCCCAGGTGGCAACTGACAGGTTGACAACTTGAACTCCCAGCTGCCCCATGGGAGAAAGATGTGGCCGCCTGCTTCTGTTAAAGATGTTAACTGCTTGTTGACAATTTCTAAAGCAGTCAAACCCTTGGCAGCAAGTTAGAGCAGACTCCTGTGTCTGTCTTCTGTAAAGTGGCTTGTGGGTGTGAGCTGCCAGTCTTTTGGTTAGCAGTTGAACACACAACCATTGTGTCATCTGGCTTCCTTTCCAAAAAGATTATAGACGTGGAAGCCCATGAAGGAGTTGTACTTCTGCCCTTTAGGGTCGCTAGGTGTCAGAATTAATGGAATGGCACACATAGGCAGCGGAGGCGTGGTAAGTAAATGCATTCCTTATAAGTCCATAAGCAATGTGGTCCCAATTTGGGGGGACCCCTTGTATGCAGAGTGCATCAGTGCCATAGGGCTTTCAAGGCTATGGAGCAGTTCATCGTCCAAGCCATACCCATCGTCCAAGCCCCGCTGGTGGATTTTACAACTACTCATTCAGCTAATAATTGTATGCTTATCATTTGTGCCTCCACCCCCAGGGCCTCCTAGTGAGACCCTTAGCATTCACTAATGCTATTTCTGGTGGCAGGAAGAGTAGAGGCACCTTTGCTCTGGGGTTTGCTATTCATATCCATGGAAGTAATTGAAAAGTCATCCATATTTATATTTATTTATGTATTTATTATTTTAAACTTCATAAAAAATATCTGATTTGAATAGCAATAGATAATATCATTCATTAATAACAATGGTGAACTATTTGATTTAGGACCACTACATTAACCTAAGATTTGGATTTTGATTCCTAATCAGATAATTTTGTGACTTTTTTTTTAATCTACTTAATTTTTTAGCCCATATAGTTGCAGAGAAGCCCCATGCATATTGGTATACATTCCTGATGGGCATACGAAGGAAATGCCAACCTCTGGTTCCAAGGATAAGAACAAAGTGGAAACAACAAAAAGTGAGGTAACTACACACTTAGAGAAATGTCTTTAATCACTAATCATTTTATTTTAGAGTAATCCGTTTTTTTAAAAAAATCATTTTATTGTGGGCTCTTATAGTTCTTATCACAATCCATACATACCGTGTATACTTGTGTATAAGCTGAGTTTTTCAGCACATTTTTAATGCAGGTTTTGTGGTAAAATTAGATGCCTTGGCTGATAATCAGGCCAGCTTATAATCAAGTATATACGCTACATCCATTGTGTCAAGCACCTTTGTACATAAGTTGCCATGATCATTTTCAAAACATTTTCTTTCTACATGAGCCTTGGTATCAGCCTTGATAATAATTATTTCATGTCTTATATCGACCACTGTTTCCTTTCACTCACTTTTCTGTTGTCTGTCCCCCTGGGAGGGGGTTATATGTTGATCATTGTAACTAGTTCCCCCTTTCCCCCTGCCTTCCCCCTACCCTCCTAGTAGCTCTACTCTTAGAGTAAATCTTAACAGTTATTTTCTCTAACAGTTGTGGTTGAAGATAGTAACAACTCACCTTTTTAAAGTTTGTTTTTTATTAAGTCCTTTCATGTATGACTTTGTGAGTTCACATAGCACCGTAGTTTCTAACATTATTTTTTCAAGGTAACTCTTAATCTAAAAGACATTTCTAACAGTTCATCTTATTAAGGAGTTAAGATTAATTACATGACCAAATACTTAGAGCTAACAACATTTGAAAAAATGTTGTGTGCCTTTATATCAATTGTGGCTCATGACAATCATGTATCACAGTGTAGAACTGTCTCACTGTTTCCTAGGCTGTTATTTCTTAGAAGCAGATTAGTAGATCTGTCTCACCTGGAGCTGCTGGTAGACTTGAATTAGTGGCTTTTTAGTTAACAGCCACGTGCCTATTATGCCACTGACCTTATTTGAAAAAAGAGTACAAACAGAAAATATTTCCCATTTAATTCCTAAAATACTTTACTTTGCTGTGAAATAATAGGTATTTTCCTTTAGGAGGGTAGTGGTGAGCCAGTGGTAGAATTCTCACCTTACATATGCAAGACCTGAGTGAGTTTGATACCCAGCCAGTATAGTCCTTGCTTGTCTGTCACTAGAGGCTTGTGGGTGGCTGTGATATTGAACAGGTTTCAGTCATTTCAAAGTGTTGGAAAATTTACATAAGCTTAAGCAGGGCTTCAAAGATGACACCGCTCTATGGGCCTGACAATAATTCAGCTAACCATGCCGCCGCTAAGTCTCCCATTCGAGGGCTTTATAGGACTTGCTGTGGGACAGGATTAATTTTCCCTCTTCCAGTGACTGTGATGAATCACTCAAAATTTAAACATTTCTTTTTGTTCCTCTTTGGTTTTGTTGGCCATGACACAGCCAATTCCAAACCCTGTATTGCAGGACAAGCAGGAGTTGTTTGTAAGTCAGATGTTTGTAACCCAGGAACTGTCTGTTCAAACTGATTTCAGAACCTTTTGTAAGATGCGACCCTGATAGAGTTTGAAGTGCCTCTTAGCTCAAGGACAGAACTCTCAGGTCGAGATAAGAAATATTGGGGCTTAACACATGTGGCTTCAAGAATCTAGATGAGATTTTCTGAAAAATTCAGGAGAAGACCATTTTTATAAAGTCATGGGGAGTATGGGATGAGCTGCATTTCAAAGTTGGGAGGGTTTGGTAGGCAGGAGAGGGCATTCTAGGCAGACGGAACGTTTTAAAGGAAAACATGATGCAGCATGCTTAATTACTCTCTTCGTAAATTGTGAATAAGGTGAGAGTTTACATTTTAGATAATCAGCTTTGGATTCAGTATTTTAAACTACTAATCAAACTTCCTTATTCACTCTTTAGTAGTCATTTTATCACGCTTACCTCTAGATTTATTTTGGTAATAATAAATACAGAATTGTTATGCATTACTTAATGACAATTTTTGCCTTATAAGTAATCAATATATTTAGCTTTTCCAAAAAGCTAATATTAAGAGTATCAAACACTTATCATTAATCACTTTTTCAGTTATTTTACTAAAGCCCTTTATTAGTTTCGATTTATTTACTATAGATTTAGTATTTTCTATTTTTTTGCCTGCTCGATGATTACATACAATTATCACAGGCTCAAGTAATTCACTCAAGGTTGTAAAGCTAATATGTTGTGGAACAGTGATTTAGTCTCAGATCTGATCTATATGTCATAATTTAATCCTGTACTGATAACAATTCAGGTTATTTTTGGTTTATTCTATGATAAGAACACTCCAGTAAGTATCCATATGCCTGTTTACTCCTCTTATTATTAGGTCCAATGTTTAGAAATGGGGTTATTTATGTAAACGTTTAAAGAGATTAAAAATGCAAATTTTAATTTTTTACCTTGAAACTGCATAAAACTGAGCTTGCTATAATTTTGTCAAAACACTTTTTACATAACTAGCTCTTACTTTTGGATTTTCACTTCTGTAGACAACTCCATGTAAGGAAAAGCAGTCACTTTCTCTGGATAATAACTACGCAGCACCTGTGGATTCAATGGCCCTTTACAACCAAGTGGCTGTGCAAGGAGATGTGGTTCGTGAGTTAAAAGCCAAGAAAGCAGCAAAGGAGGATATAGACGTGGCTGTAAAACAGCTTTTGGCTTTGAAGGCTGAGTATAAGGAGAAAACTGGCCAGGAATATAAGCCTGGAAAGCCCCCTGCTGCAGTTGCTTCATCCAGTACTTCTTCCAACTCTCCACACAGTGTTCGCGACGGTAAATCTCTCTATGATGAAGTTGCTGCACAAGGGGAGGTGGTTCGGAAACTGAAAGCTGAAAAAGCCCCAAAGGTAAGTGCATTTGAGTGAGTTAGGTCACCATTGTAAGTGACTACGTGAATTCAAGCTCTTTAGTGTAATCCAGTTTTCTTATAAAACGTATTGTGTGCTTAAGATGTTGTGATTTAACAACCAAGAATTCCTAATATCTACCATGTGCCAGGCTCTGAAGGACAGAGAAGCAGTTCACAACCGTATGAAGGACGGATGGGGAGAAACTACACACTAATAATCCTGTTTGATGTAAATTAATTTCTGTGGAAACCTAGAAGCGTCCAAGTGTCTGCGGTCATAAGTGACAGGGATCAAAAACAAAAACCCACTGCTATCAAGTCAATTCCAACTTGTAGCAACCCAGTAAGACATAGTAGAACTGCTCCCTGAGGGTATTGGAGACTAAATCTTTATGCAAACAGTTAAAGCCTTGTCTTTCTCTTAAACGGGCTAGTGGGCTCAAATATTGATCTGCAGTGGTTCTCAACCTTTGGGTCGCAACCCCATTGGGGGTTGAATGACCCTTTCACAGGAGTCGTCCGATTCATAACAGTAGCAAAATTACAGTTATGAAGTAGCAATGAAAATAATTTTATGGTTGGGGGTCACCATAACATGAGGAACTGTATTAAAGGTCACGGCATTAGGAATGTTGAGAACCACTGATCTTGAGGTTAGAAGTTTAAGTGTGTAACCCTTGGTAGCAATCCTCCTTAGTGACAGGAAAAGAGGAAACACTCCATAAAGAATGTTAAAAATAATCCTGAAGTAAAAGAAAGCCTTTGCCAGTGAACAGAGTGTGGAGGAAGGCGCTATAGGTAGAGAAGCATTATTGTACATCCATATTAATGAAAGATTAATAAAGAGTGTTGTCCTCTCCCACCAATGCATGCGTGCATACTCACGCACGCACCTCTGCAAGTTCCTTTTAATAAGTGGGACCCAGGCATTTCCATTACTGACAAGTTTTCTAGGTCATGCTGATGCTGCTGGACTGGGGACCACACTTTGAGAACCACTGGTACAAAAGACTCACTAGCAAAGGAGGAAAAGTTGTGTTGTGGTTAAGTAATATGTTGTCAAAAGTTTTTTGTTTGTTTGTTTTTATTTCCCCAGCGATTATACTGCATCACACACTTCAGAGGTGCTTACAAATGACACCAAATTTTGATCATAGTATAAGTTTTATTCTTGTTTTACTCATATCTTTAAGCAAAAAAAAAAAGAGTAGATATTAGGATTTAGTGTGGAGCGGGATTACTTACTTGTTGGAGGTAAAAGGCAAAGAGATTTGCCTCTATGATAAAGATCATGCTTGATAATGAAATTATGTATTTCTGTTCAAACTTTGTCCAAACCATGATCACTTAGTGCTGTAACTAACTGTATATAATCAGTCCACGAAGTGCTGTCAAAAATGATAGATTCTATTAAAAAAAAAAAAAGATTCTGAGCTGGAAAACAGAGCTGTTGTCTCAGGACAACAGTACTTGTATGTCTAAGGGGTTTAAAAATATTGGCAATCCATTGTCTGCTCACTGTTCTGCCTAGAAATCCTTCTGGCTTCATACAAATTACAGACATGGGGCTTGAACTTGACAGTTCACTTGAATATCCTGTATTAATTTGCCTGTTTGCATATGTGTGTTGCATGTGTATGTACGTGTTTACACTTACTTATATGAGTTACAGTATTGGAAACTCAAAGGAGCAGTTCTACCCTGTTCTATAGGGTTGCTATGAGTCAGCATTGACTCAGTGATAGTAAGTTTGATTTTTTTTGTTTTGTTTACATGGCTTGCTTGTATAAGGAGCCCTGATAACCCTGTGGCTTAGGTGTTAGACTGCTAACTAAGGGTTAGTGGGAGAACGATGAAACTCTTGGAAACCCTATATAAGGACACTCACTGTGAGTTGGAATCCACTCGCTGGCAGTGGGTTTGTTGTTTGAATATGATTTGCATATGAGAGAAAGAATTCTTGGGTGGTGGTAACAGTTCATGTACTTGGGCACACACTGAAAGGTGGAAGGTTCAAGTTCAAGCAGAAGTGTCTCACAAGAATGTCTCGACAGTCCGCTTCTGAAAATCAGCCACTTGCCATCCCGTGGAGCGTAGTTCCACTGTGATGCACATGGAGTTACCGGGAGCTGAAATGGACTTGAGGACAACTGGTTTCTATTGGAGATTGCATGTGATGTAGTATGTGTCCAACTTTTCTTCAGCTTTTCACTGATTTCAGGGTAATCCATTTATGCTTACGTTTCTCCATGATGGACATCTTTACAGGAATACTCTGGTGATAATCAAAGGTTTTTTAGAAATAAAGAATTAAATATTATTTATTCCTCTCCACCCACCCTTTTATCTCAGGCTAAAGTGACTGAAGCTGTAGAATGCTTACTCTCTCTGAAAGCTCAGTATAAAGAAACAACTGGAAAAGAGTACGTACCAGGACAGCCTGCCTTGTCGCAAAACTCGGCCTCAGAAAGCAGTTCTGAACCCAGTGGTCCCGAAACACCGGAGGCCAAAGGACTTTTTGACCAAGTAGCTTCTCAAGGAGAAGTAGTTCGAAAACTGAAAGGCGAAAAAGCCCCTAAGGTGAGTGTGATAGTCTCTGTGTGTGTATTTTTGTCTTTTATGTAGCAAGCTATTTTCTTTGCCTAGAGCACTCTTTTACCCATTGAATCTGAATCATACAAAAAAGAAACCATTGTTGATCCTTTCATTCTTCAGAATGTGGCCGGATGTTCCCATGGACACTGTCATTTTTGAGACATAGCATTTAAGCAGTCTGTTTAAGTTGTCTGTTTGTCTTGTGTCTCTAAGTTCCCGGTAGTCTCAGGACATACTTATAGCTGGAATAATATTCCTGATGTTGTGTTGATTGCAAATGACACAGTTTATTTTGAGCTCTGGTGTCACTTGTGCTAGTTCTATTACCCTTTTAGAAATAAGATTTTTTTAAAATACAGATTCCTATGAGTGGAAAGCAGTAAGGTATCATTTCTTGTTAGGACCTGTCAAGGTGACTTTGACTTATGGTAACTAAAGTATAAAAAAATATTGCCCAATCCTGTGCCATCTTCACAGAGTGTCCAGTCAGAATATTTTCTTCTGATCCATCGGGCTTTTATGAGCTGATTTTTGGAAATAGATCGATTGTCAGGTCGTCTTTCTGAGTCAGTCTTAGTCAGAAACCATGTTGAAACCTGTCCATTGTAACTGTCCCTGCTAATGTTTGAAATACAGGTGACATAGCTTCTAGTATCTGCATCACATAAGCCACCACAGTCTGACAAACTTACCGGTGGCGTGATTTGAGATTTAATCCATTATATAGAAACTTGATTACACTTCAGCTTTGTAGTTGTGAAAACAGTGTAACATGTATTGGCTCTTAACTTAGATTCCTGTAGAAAACAAGCTATAGGCCAGCACTATCCAGTGGGACTTTCTATGATGGTGGAAACACTTGTCGAACAGCATTGTGCAACACAGTAGTCAGTAGTCAGTTGTGGCTGCTGCACAATTGAAATGTGGCACTGGTGACTGAAGAACTGAATAAAAAATTTTACTTTCAATTAATTCAAATATAAGTAGCCACATATGATTGAGGACTACTGTGTAGGCAGTGCAGTTATAGATCGTGTTCTATTTTCTACTACCTCTTTTGCACAGTTTTGTCCTGTTTATCATAGTCTTCCTCTTATTTTCATTAGTTGCTACATTCAGCATTTCCTACACCAACTCTGCACACCTCTACCTTTAGTTGTACTTGGAGAACTGCTTATAAAGCTTTAGACATTGAATTTAAGTGTGTCTAGACAGTGCTTTGAGCTACATTGGTCTTCTCTTCTTGGGTTAAACTCAGGATCAAGTAGATAGAGCTGTACAAGAGCTTCTTCAGCTGAAGGCACAGTACAAGTCTCTGACAGGAGTGGAGTATAAACCTGTCTCTGCCACCGGGTCTGAGGACAAAGATAAGAGGAAGAAAGAAAAAGAAAATAAATCTGAAAAGCAGAATAAACCCCAGAAACAAAATGATGGTCAAAAGAAAGATTCTTCTAAAAATCAAGGAAGTGGACAGTCATCGGGTGGACCAGGAGAAGGACAAGGACCAAAGAAACAGACCAGGTAATAAAACTTAATCTGTAATGAAGAGAAACACTTAATAAGAATTCATGGTATCAAACAAATGTAGTTATTTGGCGATCACATTAAAGCAAAGCTAAAGCAGTTTCAGCAGCAAAGTTGTACTAATTTTTAATTCGTTTAATCTTCTAAGTATGTAATGTATTCATTTGCTTGGTTAAGAATCCCAGAAAATAAAAAGTTCAGTGAACTCTTCCTCACTTGCTTGTTTCTCATCTGTCCAGTCCCCTACCATCATAATGAGTTACTAATGGCTATTAGTTTATTCTGTTATCTGTTGAGTAATTTTCATTTGATTTTTACAGTACATATATGTGTTCCTTCTCCCTCGCCCCCCACCCCTTAGCCCCCACCCGTTTAACACAATTGGAAGATTTTTAAGTTATACACATAACAGCAGCCTCCTGCATAGGCCCCCTGTGTAAAGGAGAAAGATGAGGCTTTCTGCTCCTATAGAGAGTTACAATCTTGGAAAGCCATGGGCACAGTTCTGTCCGTTAGGGCTGCCGAGTAGGTGTGAACTCATTGGCAGTGAGATTTGTGGGTAGTTTTTATTACTATTTGTTTCCTGTGAAACTACTGGCCTTAAAACTATAATTTCACCAGGACTGAAGTTGGCAAAAGATTAGTCTTCTTTTGCTTGTGGGAAAATACAATGTGACCCTCTTTTTATTGAAAATGCATTATCTTTAAAAGGACGTTGAAAAAAGAAGGGTTGTATTAAAATTGTAGCTTTCTGTAATGCTTGATTTGCCAAGTTCTGGGGGACAAGACCTCACTACCTTATATAATGGACCCTTTCTAGGGAGGGATTAAAAACTATCTAGGAAATGAATATAGAAGAGAAATACAAAAGTGACTCAAGCAAAATAATAATTTTTTTTATTTTAGAAATTACTTTTCATTCACCTAATGACAGATGTGGAATGAAGAGACTTATACTTTTCTTAATATCTTCAGGTTAGGTCTTGAGGCAAAAAAAGAAGAAAATCTTGCAGATTGGTACTCTCAAGTAAGTATGCATTCAGTTGATTTTTATATTTAAAAAAATTCTCCGTGGCCATTGATAGGGTAATTTTCAAGTCCATGAGCAATATTAAAGTAATAATGTAATGCCGTTAATAATACATCCTGCAGTCACTTAACACAGTTTGCAAAAGATGTTCACATCAAGTAAGACTTGGGAAGGAACTCTATGACATAGTCAGCACTTGGTCTTTCTTTCACTCTGAGGTAGAGGACTTAGCAGGAGTAGGGTTGGAATCCAAGTCTTCTTGGGAGTATCCAACAGCAGACCTACCGACTCCTAACCACCCAATGGGACAGGGTAGAACTGCTCTGTAGGGTTTTTGAGGATAGCAGTCTTTCTCCCTCAGAGCGGCTCGTGCTTTGAACAGGTGAGAATGATTAGCACCCCAGTGCATCACCCCCTACACACCAGAATATATAGCTCTGTGATTTCTCAGTGTTGAAAGGTTTGCTGTACTCTTATGACCTTCCCTCTTAAGAGGATGTATCTAGAGAGGAAGTCTTCACATTTGAAGTTGAATTATCATACTATTGCCACCTGTACCATACTTTTTGTTGAACATCGGCTTTAAAGGCTATATTTTTCCTTGTTAAAGGTCATCACAAAGTCAGAAATGATTGAGTACTATGACGTAAGTGGCTGCTATATTCTTCGTCCGTGGGCATATTCCATTTGGGAATCCATCAAGAACTTTTTTGATGCCGAGATCAAGAAACTTGGTGTTGAAAACTGCTATTTCCCCATGTTTGTATCTCAAGGTGCATTAGAGAAAGAGAAGAATCACGTCGCTGACTTTGCCCCTGAGGTGCGTTTACTTTCAGTCTTTGCAGTTTTCTCTCGGAACCCAAATTTAGGTTCACACTTGCATAACAATTTAAAAGATGAAAGAAAGTCTAACAACCAATTTAGAGAAATGTAAAGCCATTTTAAATATATAAATATATTTCTGCCTTTGCAGACAAGTTAACTAATTATCTGGCTTTCCTCTTTTAAGTACTTAGTTTGCTCCCAGCCCACCCCTGCAGTTGTTTACGTGCTTATTGTTAGAGGGAAAATTGAAAAAGGGCTCTGCATTTGTGCTGTGCACTAAAGTGCTGTTGAAAAGAAAATGTGTGAAAGATGATTTTATCTTACTAGGTTGCTTGGGTTACAAGATCTGGCAAAACGGAGTTGGCAGAACCAATTGCTGTTCGTCCTACTAGTGAAACAGGTGAGACTGAGCCTTGGGATGTAAGAGAAGCTCACTGAGACATAGTCAAATGGCTTGCAGAATTGTCAGCTCTTGCTGTGATTTTTGAAATCATTGTTGATAATACAAGGTTTAATGAATGTGGCAAAAGTTGAATACGCAAGTTTTATAGAATTTTATTCTCACTTCTTTTGCAAAGCTCCTTATTAAGATAAAGTCTGCCTTTAACACTTTAGCATGGTTCATTTTATGCTACATATCCCCCTCCCCCCCTCCAGAATGTTCTGAGTAATCTTATTCATGGGATTGGTTACCTAAAATAGCAGAACACTATTTTTTGGATGCCCTGTTTATACATGGCGTTGGCTAGTCATTTTAGTGATCATACGTTTCCATTTTCTGTAGTTGTGTTTTTGGTTTTATTAAGTAGGGGACGTGGTGCTTTCATTTACATGTTCTCAGTTTTTCTCACAACCATGTTGTGACAAAGGTAGGGAAACTATTGTTATCTCCCTCTGACAGCATAAAGAAGTCTGAGAGCTTCGATGATTTTCTTAAAAATCACTCTTAAATTACCGTAGGAGGGTCTGTTGGGAGTTCTGAACCTTTGAACTTGTTATTGCCTTCCAACATGACTGTATATTTTAGCTGTACAGGCAACCCCTGACTTAGGACATATTGAAGTTACAGCATAAAACCATCCCTTTGGTAGTATGTGTCAGTAATATACAGTGTTGCAAATGTAATTTGCCAATGATCTTTTTCATGCCAACAACCCCTAAAGACAAACAAAGATAAGATTTACAAAGATTTTTCTACTAAAAGGCAATAATCATGAAAAGTAAGAGGGAAAATGAGATGTTCCACTCTTGTAAGAATTGATTTCCACGATAGAGCCATCAAAATGGAACCTCATTATAAATCGGGGGCTACCTATATTTATATCTGGGAGTGTGATTATAATTGATTCTGACCCCCATGCTTTATTAGATACTCTGATTTTTCTTTTTTTATTATATTTTTTAAATGTACTTTGCATTAAAAATTATATTAACCAAAAGGCTAATCTTATCATAATATGTAAAATAACCCAATAATCACAATGTCTGTATTCAAATTTCAATGTTTCATGCCTCTTAAATCTCTGAAGCTCAATTTTTAAGTTTCCTGAGACACTATTATATATTGACATTGTCCTGGATATCTAAATTCTATTTCTAATATTTAACTATGTTGGTGTCAGTCATTTATTTAACTCGCCTACACTTAACATATATTTATATATGTATGTATAGATATGTATGTGTGTGTGTGTGTGTGTGTGTATATATATATATTTGTACATATATTGCCATTGTCATTTCCAAAACTTGAGTCCTTGGTTTAAGCTCCTTTTTCATATTTTTTTCCTCTGTTTTAATTTAAAAATCATTTTATTGGGAGCCCTTACAGCTCTTATAACATTTCATACATCAATTGTATCAAGTATATTTGTATATATGTTGCCATCATTATTTTCTAAACACTTTCTATTTGAGCCCTTAGTACCAGCTCCTCTTTTTTCCCCTCCCTCCCCACTTTCCACCCTTGTGACCTCTAGATAAATTATAAATTATTATTGTTTTCATATCTTCATAGACTGCTATCTCCCTTCACCCATGGTTTGTGGCGTTCATCCCCCTTGGAGGGGAGTGTGTGTAGTTATGTGTTATTTATTGTGATTGGTTCCCCCTCCTCTCCCTACCTTCCCCCTACCCTCCTGATAACGCTACTCCCATTTCTATTCCTGAGCACTCCCATATTTTAAAAACCAAAATTATGATATCTGCTTTGTGAACTGAATGAGAACTGAGCAAGATAAAGAATGCAAAGAACTTAACACAGAGCCTTGCATGCACTTTAGGGGATCTGTGGTTAGTGTTTTTAAAACCAAATGAAAACTCTAATTAAATCTTAAATGCAAATCTCATGAAGGGGATCCCACATGTGGTTTAGATAGTTTTATTTTGAGTAATATATTCAATGAAATGGGTAGTAATGTCATTCCATTGCCATAACAAATGCTTTAAGGTTTCGCTTTTGCCATCCTTCAAGAAGAAATAAAGCCTCCCGTGACTAATTCTGCCTCTATTTCGATGTCTTTCCAGTCATGTATCCTGCATATGCAAAATGGGTGCAGTCACACAGAGACCTGCCCATCAGACTCAATCAGTGGTGCAATGTGGTGGTAGGTACACCCCCTTTCTGCATTCTTGTCATTATTTCCTTCTCTTTTTAACAGTCACATACATACTTAATGTTAACTTATTTTCATATTTCAAAGGATTGAGAGTATAAATGCTTTTTTTTAAGTATTTGAAATATTTTGAGTTTGAATGAGAAATTTCCAATTGCTCACCACTTAAAAGTTGCTAGTGAAAATGGAAACGCACTCAATGTATAAACTCTCCTTATCTCTTGCAGCGTTGGGAGTTCAAGCATCCCCAGCCTTTCCTCCGTACTCGTGAATTCCTTTGGCAGGAAGGCCACAGTGCTTTTGCTACCTTTGAGGAAGCAGCAAAAGAGGTACAAACAGCTGTTTCAACAGTGATTATGCCCTGTTGCTTTGTCTAGACTGCACTTTATATTTCAGCTATAAGTAATGTAGGTGCTGTCAAATTACTTTGTAAGCAGTCACGTCTCCAACTTTTGTGACTTAGGAGGGATTCCCATTATCATATCATCATTTTTGTATTCAATAACTTAAACCCCTTATGAAACCCTGAGTAGCTTGCTTGTTTTTCCCCACCGTCTTGGTTTCCTCATCTCCTTCTCATAGTGTATTATCTTTTTCTTTCTTCACCAACGTTAACACCCGCCTACCCTCTCGCCTATTGCTTCCCCTTCGCGCCATTCCCCTCCCACCCTTGGTGTAACCACCAGAGTTTATTTTTTTGGTATGAAAACCTTTACTTGCTTTAAAAAAAAAAATAACAGTAGTCATATAACATTTGCCTTTTTGTGTTTGACCTACTTCAGTCAGCATAAGGCTGTCAAATCCAACCATGCCATGAGGTGTTTCACAGTTTCATAAATATGTTCTTTAATGATACATGGTATTCCATTGTGGGTACATACCAAAGTTTGCTTATCCATTCTTCTACCAATGGACATTTAAGTTGTTTCTGTCTTCTTGCTGCTGTTTATACTGCAGTAATGAACATGATGCACGTATATTTGCGCTGTGCTCTTTATTTTTGTGTAGGATATATGTCTAGTAGCACTATTGTGATCAAGGTATTTCTGTTCCCAATTGTTTTAAGAAGCACCATACGGTGCTTAAACTGTTTAATAAATAGTTCCACCAGCGGTGTATGTGGGTTCCAATCTCCCCATACCCACTCCAGCATTTGTTCTTTTCTCATTTTTGAACTTTGCTACTGCAGTGTGGTGAATTATTTTCTTTGTTATTCCCAACAAACAACCTGCATTTTTCTTGATGGGTCTGGGTGAAAAGGTAGGGGAAGGTAATGATAGCTAACAATTGTGGGGTGAGGTGATAACATGGCTTTTATATGTGTCTCTGAGATGGTTAGGGATTGTGAGCATTTTTTTCATGTTTTTTGGCACCTGGATGTCTTCTTTGTAAACTGTTAGTGTCCTCTTTACATTTTTATGTTGGGTTAGTTCTTTTTTTGTGGTGTAGAAATTTTCTATAGACTTTAAAGATTATTCTCTTGTCTGCTATGTCACTGCCAAAAAATTCCATTCTGTGGGTCCTCTCTACTCTTTTGATGAGATTTTGTGACACACATAAGTTTTGTTTCTTTTTAAGAAGGCACCAGTTACTCTGTCTTCTGCTGTGTATGCATTATCTTTGATAGTAAGCTTATATCATGCTTTAGGCCCCTTGATTGTCCCTGTTTTTCATCGTCGATCTTTATAATTCTAGAGTTTACATTCAGGTCTTTTAGTCCATCTGAATTCATTCCTATTTGTAGAATGGGGTATAGATCCTGATTCATTCTTATGCAAATGGAAATCTAATTTTGCCAGCACCAGTTCTTGAAGAGACCCATCTCTTCTCCATTAATGTATGTCATCCATTGTAGCAAATCAGTTGTCTGTAGGTGGATGGATTTATTTCTGGATTCTCTGTTCTCTTCCATTGGTCTATGTATCTCTAGTTGGTCCCGATTTGGCTGTTTTTTGACTGCTGCAGCTGTGTAAAAAGTGAGATCTGGAATAGGGAGGCTTCCGAGTTTGTTTTGAGTATTGTTTTGTTTATCCCGGGTCTCCTTCTCTTCCATTTAAAGTTGAAATTTGATCTGGTATCAAAGGAATATTAAAAGACCATTTCTTGGTATGTTATTTTGTTATCTATTGAGAATTTATTAAAATAAAAATAATTTAAATATGTTTAACTCTAAGAACCTTTATTAAGATTTCATTACTAAATGAAAGGGAATATTGTTTAAATTTGTGCACAGAAGGGGGCAGCAGGAAGGGAGGGGAAAATGAGCTGATACCAAGGGTTCAAGTAGAAAGAAAATGTTTTGAGAATGATGATGGCAACAAATGTACAAATGTGCTTGACATGATGGATGTATATATGGATTGTGATAAGAGTTGTATGAGCCCTCAATAAAATGATTTAAAGAAAAAGAAAGAAAAAACAGGAAATAATTGAGCTTTATGATAATAAAAATGATAAGATAAAAAAAGTTGTACATAGAAGTACTTTTGTCCATTAATGTCTGGAAGAAATGATAATCCTATGGGTGAAATGAATTATTCTTTTAAAAATATTTTCAACTTGATTACCTTTTAAAAAATTTTTTATTTTTTACCATTTATTTTTTTATTAGCATTATTTGCTCATTCGTATTCTGAATTTGTAAACATTTCTTTAAAAATTCTATCCAGAACCAAAATTGATCTTCATCTGTGAACCTCTGAAATCTAGACTACCAGTTATTTGTTTCTAAAATACCTTGTAATGGGTACAAAGTGTATATTTTCATTAAAAATGGAATCAATTGGAAGGCAAGGAAGGATTGTAGGCACCAAGCAGTTCCAAAACCCAGCAGAACAAATTACATTAGCTCTCAAGACTGGAAACTAATATCTTACATGAAGCCATCTGGGCAATAGCCCTGCCCTCCAAACTCTGCATGATGACCATGTCCTCGGGGTTCTGAGTGGATGTCACTGGACCCTGGCCTTAACCTCTGTCTTCCAGGCATACTGAGATAGCAGCTCTGCTCTTGTGGCTTCGGCTGCCCCATCCTCCTAGTCCATCTGCTTAGTGATCACAGCCCCAACAGGCCTCATTCTTCTGCCCCTTGGACATGGCTGGCCTGTTTCCAGCACACAGACCAGCTTTGAGTGGTGGCCTCATACCACCAGCAACTCCATACTCTGGAACCAAGCAGATGACGATCTGTCTGCTTGAAACTTCGGAGTTTACAGCCTCACCGTTACCCTTTTAAACCAAGAAGGCCCTGCTTCCTGGTATCCTTCCAACATCCTCTTGACTTCAGCTGCTGCAGGGGTGATTCCTTTCTTTTCTTGGAGGACAACAAATGCAGCCACTTTGCCTGGATCCTTTTAGATCTCCATGTGCCGTGGCTCTTATGTTACCCCATCTTTCCTTTGCTTGCATATTTAATTTCTTTTATGTCTCAAAAAAGATTGATTCAGACACACCCCATTTAAAGCCTCATTAACATGACAAAGAGCCCATTCCCAACTGGGATATCCATAGGCATAGAGGTTAGAATTTAACAACATATATTTTTCCATAACAGAATTCTGTTGGCAACAATTTTCCTTGACAAATACAAACTGGCTACTGTAATCTCTCTATAGAAAGGATTTTTACGCATGAGGTGGTTTTTCCAGTATAAATTGTTTAAATAGCTTTACTGAACTATAGTTAACGTATCACACAAGTCAATAGTTCAGTCATATTGAGTTGTACAATCATCCCTACCATCTTTGTAACATTTTCTTCCTTCATGAACCCATTGCTATTGACTTCCCATCTCCTCCAATCTCTCCTTCCATGCCCCCACGTAATTATTAATCCAGTTACTATCTTCGTAGATGTACCCATCCTGACTGCCACACAGGAAAACATACAAGACAAAGACAAAGTACAAAAAAGGACCCAACAACAATGACCAAATAAGACAGAAGAACCTCACTCGAAAATAAAACAGAATGTTGAAAAACTAGAATAATTTCCAAATAGGTCAAAAGAGGGATCTAAAGACCAGGTGTTACCCTTCAACCTAACTACAGCTCTTAAGATCCACTTGCCAAATGCTCTTTGTCTGGCTGTTCTATTCCTAGACCATCGTCAGTGCAAATTCACCGGAGACTCAATCCATTTAGGGTTGAGAGTGGATTTGGGGCTTCCACTGTCATCCACAGCATCTTACAGACTGGTCCGATACAGTTTTAAATTCTGTGGTTTTATAGAGTTAATAAATATCCCTTAAATCTGAACACATTTGCACTTAAATATGATTGCAGGTCTTGCAGATACTTGACTTGTATGCCCAGGTGTATGAAGAACTCCTAGCAATTCCTGTTGTCAAAGGAAGAAAGACTGAAAAGGAAAAATTTGCAGGTGGAGACTATACAACTACCATAGAAGCATTCATATCTGCTAGTGGAAGAGCTATACAGGTATCCAGCTGCTGCATGGGGGTCTATTGATGGCACAGCCTATAGGCAAACTCGATCGTTTCTTCTGTCAGAAAAATAATTTTAATAATAACCATTTCACATGTTTTCTGGGACCATATGATAATATAAAGCAGATCTATTCCAGATTAGATTAGCACATCTAATCTAAAGATTGTTTGCTTTAAAGATTCTCTCAGGGCAATCTTTTCGGGGATTCATCTACCCTCCAGGGGTCTGGAAAGACTGAAGTCCATAATAATTTGAAATTTTGTTAATGCATTTCCTCTCTTTTGATCAGAATTCTTCTTTGGAATCTTTGATCAAAAATGGTCTCCTGAGCAAGGAGGCAGCTGTTCATTGAAGCAACTAGCTATACATTCTTCACCCTTCTCCTGTTGTGGACTCTCCGTCCTCTGTTGTTCCAGGGATCAGTTCTGCCTTAGCTGGCCACTTCCAAGCTCTTTTTAAAACTCTTGTAGTTAAGTAACTCATATGAGAAGTACTGCCTAGAACAAGGTATTCTATAGTATTTTTTTGGCCAATCTTAGTCCTTTGGGCCCTGGTGACACAGTGGTTATAAATGCAAACTGCTAACCACAGGGAAACGACCAGCCTTCCCATGGGAGAGAAGGCCTGGTGATTTATTGATGTAAGGATTATAACCCAGGTGGAGCAATTCTTTTCGGTCATGTGAGGTCACTTTGAATCAGAATCAGTGCAATTGTACACATAAACAGTGTCTTTGTTACATTACACTTATATTTTAAAAACGCATTTCCTATTTGAACAACAGGAAAATTAAAAGGCGTAGTACTTTTTAGTACATGTTACTCATTCTCTTCAAAGATTATTAAATAGATTATTAAAGATAAAGCTAATATTTCTCCATTTCAGGGAGCAACATCACATCACTTAGGGCAGAATTTTTCCAAGATGTTTGAAATCATCTTTGAAGATCCAAGGACACCGGGAGAGAAACAATTTGCCTATCAAAACTCTTGGGGCCTGACAACTCGAACTATTGGTGTTTTGACCATGGTTCATGGAGACAACATGGGTTTGGTATTGCCACCCCGTGTAGCCTGTGTTCAGGTAAGGAAACATCTCTGTTTATAAGGAAGACAGTTCTACTTACATTCCCTTTTATAAAAATGCATGCCATATTTGCTAAAAGAATGTAATAGCGTCAATGCCATTTAGATCTATTTCACAGAGAAAAACTTATTTTGAAAACTCTTTTTGATATGGTTCACGATATGTTAAACGAGAATGAAAATGCATTTACCATGGACAGATATTAGGTAGATAACCAGTAGACTTTAAATATATATAGATTGGTGAAGCAAACAGTTAAATACTTGACTACTAGCCAAATTGTCCAACCCACACAGAGGTGCCTGGTGGTCTCTTTCCAAATGGATGCACCCTTGAAAACCCCATGGAACAGTTACACGCTTCATGCTTCCTTCACCACAGGTCAGAATTGACCTGACAGCAATTCACCGAGACATTTAGGCTAGGAATCACACAAATGGATTCGTGTGTTAAGTTTTATAGTCACAAAAAGGCTTTTAACTATTGAATATTACGTAATAATAAATCTGTACTGATTCGTTATATAAATTTGAGACACCATTCTTTGTTCTAGGTGGTGATTATTCCTTGTGGCATTACGAATGCACTTTCTGAAGAAGACAGAGAAGCCCTGATTGCAAAATGCAATGACTATCAAAAACGATTACTCAGTGTTAATATTCGTGTTAGAACTGATTTGCGAGACAACTATTCACCAGGTTGGAAATTCAATCACTGGGAACTTAAGGTATATTCATTCCTCAGTTGTATCATTTACTCCCACCCACCCCCATTTGCATTTAGATTTTTAAAATTTAACTCTATGTGCTTTTTTTACGAGTTGAGGCTTTTCCATTCATTATTGTTCCCTATATTGATAGAGTGAGATTCCCCCCCCCTTCACTTAAAAATTTCTATTACCTATAATTTTGTAATCTTTACATATTTGGTAAATTTAAAACACCCAAACTTACCTATTTGCTGTTTAAAGTAGCTTAGTGGAAGTTTGTTTATATTATGTTAGAATAAGGATGTTCTGGTTTATGATTGATGAGCCTCGTGCACTAAAATATTTATGTCAAGAATTTATAGAAACATTTAAGCAGTCAAGCTTTCAAAATAGTGTGTGGCTATCACTTAGCTCTTACTCTTACAGAATATCAATAAAGCTGCAATAGCTTAATTCCTTGCACTGTTTTTCACATCTTGTTTTCTTATTGTTTTACGTCAGATTGTTGATTTTTTTGTACATACCAGTTTCAATTCTTGTTTAATGCTTTTAATATGTTTTTTTGGGTTACACATTTTCATTAATAGATGAACTATCACAGTTCTGTTTTTCAGACTTCTGGGTTGTCAGTTTTTTTTCTTACAATGAAACAAGGACTCATTGATCTAGAAATTAGGAGTCAAGAGTCAATTTGCAGTCCAGGAAATAAGATGAAGAGATGGGGAGAGATTGTAGTGCCAAGCTTTTGAGTTGTGAGAGTCAACAATATTGAAAGTATTCAGCATTAATACAGCCAAGATTCCCGAAGTCACTAATATGTACCACTCTATTGGTTGTAAATTCTGAAGTGAATCTTCCATGCTGAAGACTTCAAGTGGATTGTTCTTGCTTCCCTTTTATGTAATCCATGTTTTCCTTTATACCCTGCCCTACCTCCAATGAAGGCTTTAAAGATGAATGTTTTCTCTGTGATTTCCCCGAAATTGCAGGGCTGTTTTTTTTGTTTGTTTGTTTTTTAATGTAGAACAACCTGTTGGTAAACTAATCAGTGTATACTTGTTTGGCTTAGCAAATGTGAAAGGAATAATGTTTTGCTTACCACTAGCTGGAATAATAAGAAAATAGTCATCTGTCTTCACATGTTTCCTCCTTTCCTTTTTTTTTTTTTTATTCCACTCTCCACCTACAACTAATTAGTCTTTTCAATGTCACTTTATTTTAGTTCCCCAGTGAGCCTATACCATGGAGGTGGTGTGGAGTGGGGGATACTCTTTGTACGACCTGGGTCTGCTGCAACTTTCTTGTCCACCTTCCTCAAGGGAGATTAAAAAATGCACCCAAGTGTGAAACTTTATTCCTAAAATTACGGAACAGTGAGAAAGAGAGTTTCAGGAGCTAGTGAAGAGAACAAATAATCGTAGGTTTTAATAACATTTCGGTTCCATTTGGAGGCAGAGACCAGTAATTGTACTTTACCAAGCCCTCCGGATGATTCTGATGCAGGCGAATGAGGGAAGATCCAGAGTTAGAGCTTCCAAACAGAGCACACTATTGAATCATGAACACACATCGAGCCATGGATGTGCCAAGGCTCCAGTCTCCTTGGGGGGTTAGAGTGGCTGTAGCCTCATGAAGCCTTCTCTGTGTACTCCAGTGTTCCCTACAGGTGTGGTTGTCTGTGTGTGCTACGGTGAGGAAAACTGGGAATGCTGATTCAAGATAATGACTGCGGAGCCCTGGGGTGATTCATTGGACTGCTGACCACAAGGGCTGGGCAGTTTGAAACCGCCAATGGCTCCTTGGGAAAGACTGGACTTTCTCTTTCTGTAAAGAGTCACAGTTTCCGAAAGTCACAGGGACGGTTATATACTGTGCTGTAGGGTCACTATGAGTCAGTATCAACTGAATGACAGTGAGTTGAGACAATTACTTTCATGTTTTCCCAGTAAGAGCTTCCTTCTCTCAGATGTTTTTCCTCATTATATTTATGCCTTCTTAAAGATACAGGTAGGAGCCCAGGTGGTGTAATGGGTTTACTTCTTGAGCTGCTGACTGCAAGGTCTGGTTCAAACCCTCCAGCTGCTCTGAGGGAGAAAGAGCAGGCTTTCGGCTCCCACACAGAATTACAGCTTTGAAACCAGCAGGGGCAGGTCTATTCTGTCATACGAAGTCACTATGAGTCTGTGTTTATAACTTTTTGTAATGTCGCAGAAAAAGTACTTTTTAAAAAATTTGGTTATGCATGTGATTTTTAGATTTTTAAGATGTAAAGTTGCTAAAGCCATAAAATCTATTTTGAAGTAAGTCATTGAAGATAAGCAGTGTTATTTCAATTGGTGGGGGTTTGTTTCATAGGGTGTTCCAATTAGACTTGAAGTTGGGCCACGCGATATAAAGAGTTGTCAGTTTGTAGCTGTCAGACGAGACACTGGAGAAAAGCTGACAGTCACTGAAAATGAGGCTGAGACTAAACTTCAAGCCATTTTGGAAGACATCCAAGTGAACCTCTACACAAGGTTGGTTTCTTAGAATTGCTCTGTCTTTTGTCTTCAAATTCTACTCAGCCATTGAAATCTATACGTAGGGGTTCTTTGATTGACCCACTGGTAGAAATTCTTCCCTTGCTGAATTCCCATAGTACTTAATTAGCCTCTCAGGTTTTGGTTTGTACAGGTATGCATCACTTAATATCTATTTGGGCAACATTCCACTACATGGCTTTTGTTTTGAAAGAAAAGCAGCTCTTTCTTTGTGTATTATTTTTCCCTAAGGTTTTAAAGACACACAGGCCCAGACTTTTTTTTAATCAATCTGTTGACTTTGTTTTCATTAATAGTAAATTCTGATACAAAGAACATTTCTAACATTAATGTACAACATTTCATGCTGCACCTCTGTTCTTAGAACAGCAACCTTGCCATTGTGTTGGAGTACCTTTTGTCTACGTGCCTCGTGAATCCCGTTTACTGTCCTTCAGAGATTCTCTTATGTGCAGAGCTTCTGGTTCAGTAAACTGTTTCCTGATCGATTTTTCAAAATATTGATTAATATTCTAGTGTATGAATGTGCCACTGTTTGTGACTATATTTTCTGTTAGTAAAACTTTGGGCTGTTTCTAGCCTATGCATGCTATGAATGAAGCTTTCTTAACAAGTGTATTTGTGGCCATAGCCACTCATTGCTTTCACTTATGTGCCTGGAAGTAAAAGCTGTCAAAAGTTTTGCATAGTAAGCCCGGACGTTTGTAGCATGGGACCACAGGGGATGCAGGCAGGTGAAACAGAGGGCATGACTCCGCTTATAAGGTCCCAGGCTTTGTCCAGAGAGCTGGAAGGCAGGCAGCTGGAGGGCCTGTGGGATCCTGGCAGTTCCTGCGGCTCAGGTGGGAGAAACAGGCTGGACTAGACATGCTCTCTCCCTCCCTCTCCACTCCCTTTCCTCACGCTTCCTCTCTCCTCTCTCAGTCACATCTGTTCCTATGGCTGCACCAGCAGGAGCAAGGCCAACTGGAAGCAGGCTCCCATGCGTTTTTAACCCGGTGTTTCCCAACATCTAAATCACGTAACATCCTGTTTCACAGAATATATCTTAGTTGTTAAGCAACACATACTTGTATTATGGTTTTTTTCTAATTGCTTCCATCTCCCTACTAAGCAGGCTGTCCTGTGTATAATTTTGTGTTCATTTTAGATCTGGGCTCTCATGACATATACATATGGAGGATTAAGGCATTGATTTTTACCCACAGAGTACACATTAGCTGCATTGGGGAAGCTTAAAAAAAGATCAGTTCCTCAAGCTCCTCTCAGGAGCTCTGGTAGCATAGTGGTCTACTCCTTGGGCTACAAGATTGATGGTTCAAACCCACCAGACAATCTGCAGTACAGACATGAGGGTTTCGGTTTCCATTAAGATATGGGAGCCTTGGAAACACATAAGGGCATTTCTTCTCTGTCTTGGAGGGTTGCTGTGGGCCAGAATTGACTTAATGACAGTGAGTTTTGTTTGGGCTCCTCTCAAGAAACACTGATTTAATTGGCCTAGAAAGTACCTGGCAGCTCTAATTCTATCAGTTGCCCGGGTGATCATAATCTGCAGCCAGAGTTGAAAAGGCCATTGGGCTATGGGAGTACTGTACTCATCAGTAGAGAGTAGTCTTTAGGATCACATATTAGTGGTTGGTTTGGAACTGTTTTTCTTGCCTACCTGTGTAGAGACTGAATTGAAGTTCACTTTGGGGAGGGACATGCCTGCATCTTCTTTATTCATTTAACACTCTTGCCTAGAGCAGCAGTGAAAAGAGGGAGACCCTTGACATGGTGAATTGGTGCAGTGATTGCAACAAGGGGCTCAAACATAGGAACAATTGTGAGGATGGTGCAGGACCAGACAGTGCTCGTTGTACATAACGGGAGCTATGAGTTGAAGCTGACACAATGGGTCCTAACAACAACTCCTGCCTAACTCATGTTAGGTTAATGATAAGCTTCTCTCCTTTCATGTGGGAGATTTGGGTTCAGTGCCTAGACAGTGCACCTCAAGCACAGCTACTGTTTGTATGTCAGTGGAGGTGTCTGTGTTATGATATGGAGAGAGGCTTGACAATCAACTCCCAAGAATCAACTCTTGAAAACCTTTTGATCACAATGGTTGTTCCTAGCCAGTCATGGGCTGGTGGAGGACCGGACAGCATTTCATTCCGTTCAGGGTCTGACTCCACAGCGGGTAACAACTCACATTAGGCCTCCTTGGAAGGAATAAACTCATTTTAATTTTGGCTTTGTTGCTACCTCTGAGTTTTTTTGTTTTTTATTTTTAATCGTTTTATTAGGGGCTTATACAACTCTTACCACAATCCATACATACATCAATTGTGTAAAGCACAT